TTGTTCCACATGGTCAGGGATGGAATTTACCTAGAAATGCATCTTACAGCTCCTGGGGCACAAAGATGACATTTTGCATACCGTATATACTTGAGTACAAGCCGACCAGACTATCAGCTGAGGCACTGAATTTTACCACAAAAACTGCATTAAAAATGTGCTGAAAAAACTCGGCTTATACATGAGCATATATGGTATCTATGTGCATATATGTTTTTTAAAATCTCTTTAAAAACAACTTTTTCTACTTGATGAGTCTGCAGGCTGGCTATTTACCATCACTATGACCTCTATGTGTGAAGATGGCCCAGGTATGTGAGACATGTGGCATGTGGCTCCCGTGCATGCGGGCCAGGGCAGACGGGAGGAGACTGATTTCCAAATGACCTTCCTCCACTCTGACATACACTGGCTGAACTTGTGGTCTGGGAACATGTGATGTGCCATTGACTGGATTTGGTTAGTGACCCATCCTCAGGTGTCAGCATTCCACTCTGAGATTCGGGTTAAAGATATTGCTAAACAGGCAGGATCGTGAAGTATGCTTACAATACAAAGAGGTCCCTGAAAAGAACGCTTGAAATGTCATAAAGCATAGCACATACTCACTCCAGGTCACTGGCCATGAAGGGCTCTGTCTACCAAGTTAAGGGGCCTGCACCAACTTTCCAAAGCTTCCTAAGTGGGGAAGGTCCTCAGGAACTGATAGCTAGGACTGGAAAGGACCATTTGAGCAGATGCAGGGACAAGGAGCCCAGTCTGTCTCCTGACGAGCGCAGTTCAGAGTGAGACTGGCGACAATTCCCTAGAGTCAGGAGTGCTGCCATGAACCACAGCAGCACTGGAGGGCCATCACGGCTCCACGGCTCCATGTGTGTGACATTCCTGACAACCTAGGAAGGTGACATTTCTGCCAACAGTGCATTTCCAGCACCCATCACCCCGGCTCACAGATGCCTCGTCTAGTCTGGTACAGAGGAGGCTCCCACCTTTTCTAAACTCATCATTCATTTCTGAGTGTGAGAAAGAGTTTATGTTTTTAAGAATATGTAAAATTTTTAGATACTGTAACTGCAAAGACAAGTAATTGTGCTGAAATCCTGAATTTCAGAAGCTATCTGGGGAATAAGGGTGGCCTAGAGGCACTGTCCAATAAACGATGGATTTCTAACTGCAGGGGGAAGGGTCTAAAATCCGTTTCTTGGAGGTAGAAAGTGAAGGCTATCTGTTCCCATAACGACTGACACACTTGGAAGCGGCATAGTTTCCTATGATGTAGAATCAATTGGGTAGCAATGGGATAGAGGTATAGTAGTCCTTAGACCACAAACGCTATCAGAATTACGCCTTTACGTCTTTTAAACATGGGAAAGCACTGAGTGTGGGAATAACTATTGGCCTTGTGGATTTTAAGGCTTGGCGTACCTTTTGCCTAAGCCACACTTTTTTAAGTAAATACCCCTAGTTTAAAAAAAATCAGTTGTTCTTGAATTGATCATGACTCAAAGCAATCCCACGTGAGTCAGAGAACAGCGGGGCTCCCGAGGCCTTTCAATGACTGGGTTCTCAGAAGGCCATTACAGGGCCTCCAGAGCTGTTCCAAACCTCCAAATTCTCAGTTAACAGTGGAGCATGTCAAATGTTCGCATCAACTGGGGATCAAAAGTTTGTATCAACGACAAGAATTCCATGATTAGGATCCTTGAAATAGAACAAAGAAAAGTTTCTTTCTAAAGAATACCTTATATGCCTGAATATAAGCCGACCCGAATATCAGCTGAGGCACCTAATTTTACCACAAAAACGGCATTGAAATGTGCCGGGAAAACTCGGCTTATACACGAGTATATACGGTAAATGTAATTGACTGCAAACCCAAACAGGTGTGCCTTGGGGTGGAGATGGAACAACTGCCCAAGAGTAAATGAGGCCTGTCTGCCTGTGTGCCCGAAGAATTGTGGACAAGGGGCCTGCTCAGACTCAGCACTGCTCATTATAAAGAAGAGCTCAATGCAAGGTCAAGTGCCCTTACCTCTTCTGCAAAGGGAGGTCACTGGAGACGGCCCCGAGACTTCTTGGGAAGACACTCCTTCACCAATGGGCATGGAGGGGACTTAGGACACTCCTTCACCAATGGGCACGGAGGGGGCTTAGGACACTCCTTCACCAATGGGCACGGAGGGG